GATAAATTTAAGTCAACATTAGCTAACATATGGCTTTGTGCTCTATTTATTATACCATACAATTCATTACTCAAAGTGCAATAGCGATTCGTGAACATATGAGCTCTGACCATTATCATAATAGTGGAGCCATTAGGTCAAACCACTCAGTTAGAGAGCCTTCAGTCATAATTGTTTAGTGGAGTCATTAGACCAAAATAACTATTAGATGACCCTATCATAACTGTCTATCTTGTGGAGCTGTTAAGAAAAACTATCGATCTTATGGTGTTGTTTGGCCAAACTAACGGTTAGAGTATAAATGTCACATCCTTACTAGCAGAAATTATTTGAGAATGAATCTTACTGATATTCTCAATTGAACATTTGCTCTTTATGAGCGGGAGTTATTCTTGAATTCATTACTCTTGTCAAGTGGTTGTAGATGGTGGATGAATTTTAATTTATTTTATAGATGATAAATTTTATTTTTTAAATATTAAAATTTTAACTGATTTAACAATTTTAAAATTTCGATAGATTTTACAAATTAATCCCTCTTGTTAAGATTTACTTTAAATTTAGCCATCATTAGGGTGACATTGAGATCATTTTAAATATTTTATGTTTTGTCAGGATTTGGTGGCCTTTAAAATGATAAGATCCCCTTTAGTTGAAATTCATCATCAATACGACCATCATCGAAAAGTTTTGAGAGTTTTTTATTTTGTTGCTTGAGCTTTGTTAACTTTTTACACTTGTTTGTAGAAGATCGGGTTCAATTTGAGTCTACATTATGTCTTGATAACAGAGTCCTCTTTGGTTGACATTCACGATCATCATTGGGGATTTAAATAATTCATATTTTTATAATTTGAATTTTGTTAACTCTACTTGTTGGTAGAAAATCAAGTTCAATCTGAGTGCATGTGGCATTCTGTGATCGAATCCCCTCTGATTAATATTGATTATCGACGCAACTATTATTATGGTGACATTAAAGTCACTTTAAAAATATTTTGTATTTGATTGGATTTTTGGGGCATTTAAAGGATAAATCCCCTCCGTTTTATGTTTACTTTCAACACGATCATCATTGAGGATTTAAATAACCAACAGCTTTGTTATTTGAACATTGCCACCTTTGTTTGCTCTATAATAGAGGGTCAAGTTCAATTTTTAATTGAGCAACTTTGTTATGCGAACTTTGGAATCAAGACCTTATATTTTGATGATGAACTTCATTTAAAGTGGTTTTAAAGGTCTAATATGAACTTAAAATTAAATATCTCGATGGATTTTATGCTAATGCATTAGCTTCTTAATCCAAGTCGTGTTGACTCAAATCCTTTCAAGGAGGATTAGACTTGAAATTTAACCAGTAACATTCTCGGAATTTATGTTTAAGTATTTTATACAATAGTCATAGCACATATGAGTAGTTTTAAATTTATGTTAAATGATGTACACGCTTTTGAATATATTTGAACTCGAGCAATTTACTTGCATGCATTTTATTGCATTTCTATAGCGTGTTCATTCGTTTTTAATTTGTATTAAGTTTTTGCATTTTTAAAATGATGGTGCATCTTTTAATGTTGTTGCACGCTTTTCGAGATAGTTTTATGCTTCTCAAAGCTCCAACAAGCTTCTCAGGACTTTCATATGTTTCCAGAGGTTGTTGCATGCTTGAAATGACGTGCTTGAGTTGGAAAATTTACATCTTAATGTGTGCTAAGATTTTTTTATAAAAATATTCAAATTTGAACGCTTGCACGAAATATTTATCGTTCAAATGTGCATAATGTTTCTTTTTAAATTTTGAATGCAATACTTTATATTCGCTTACACATTTATGTTGAAGGTGAGTAGGAATTCCAAAATTCCATTATTGTTATTATTTTTTTTTTTAATTAGAGAATTTATGAGTTTAATTGGAATTTGAAAAGCTTATTGTTACCAGTAGAAGGGCTATCTCATTTATAGTAATTCCCGTATTCTTTGCCTATAGGTGAGATGTGTGCATTATAAGTCCCCTACTTGTGTTCAATTTGCATTCGATTTTGACATTGATTTTGTCAATTTTATTTAAAAATATTATTTTAAGTTATGTTCCCTATGAGTTCGCTTTGTTTGAATTTCAGCAACCTTCCTACATTTTTCCCGTGTATTGTTGGTGTCGTGCGACACTGTAGCTGGAGTCTTCAACCCCACCACACGACAAAAACGTATAAGTCTTCAGTTACTGTTGACCTGCCTACCATAAAAAAAAATAAAAATCTTTCGTACCTATTTAGCGTCGAATCGCACATCGTATACATGTTTGATGATGGACACCCTACGCACGTCGTCGCCTCTCAAATCCCGTAAATCTAGCGACCCGGACATTCGACAACTAGCCTCGCACGTTCGACGTCATTTCTCCCTGGACGCTCTGCTATGGGACGATGCCTCATCTCGTTGTTAAATGTCGTAATCGACTCTTTGGACTCTTCTTTTCGCACATTCCTCCGCTCCCTCGTGGTTGTTCGACTCCGCACCTTCGACGACTTTCCCTTCTTGTTGGAGTGAAAGTTCCAACATTTGATCGGAAGCAACAAACGAGAGCTCGGTCGCTGTGACGGTAACTTTCTCCCTTCTAGTCGCTTTTTCAGCTCCCATGTTGCCATTCGACTTCGCTCCGATGACTTCCCCTTTCGATTGGATCGAAAGCTCGACATTTTGATCGGAAGCAGACGGGAGCTCGCCGCTGTGAAGGTAACTTCCTCCCTTTCGGGAGCTTCTTCAGCCAAATCACGTTGTCGACAGCCCTTTGGGCTTTTTTATTTAAATAAATTATATTTATTATTTTTATTATTAATTAAATCTGATTATAATTGATTCTAATTAATTATCATTATTAATAATTAATTGTAACTTATTTAAAAACGAAAACTCCTCATAACTCAGTGTGCGTGACGCGCCGGTCAACCACCTATACATGTTTTTCTTAGCATGGTAGGAGAAAACTTGGTGCGATACATATAACGAGGTAGGTAAGCGGACCTTGAACCCAAAATCCTATCCTCGATGTGTGTGGCGAGTCGGTCAACCACCTATACACGTCTTTCTTAGCGTGGAAGGAGGGAACCCAGTGCGACACATGCGACGAGACAAGTAGGCCCGATGCACGCTTTTCTTAGCGTGGCTAGGACAACTTTAAGTACCCGTACGCGGCTCTGTATCTGTAGGGATATAACAGTTTTTCTTTTGCAATAGGTACATTTGAAGACCCATACACACATTTCTTAGCATGGTGGGGGACGAAGAGAATGCGGCCGAGGTGTCCGAGGACACTTCCAATACACGGTTTTTTTAGCGTGGTGGGAAGACCCAGTTTCATGTAGTTTTCCCTAAACGGGGGAGATACCGGGAGGCTACCGAAATTTCAGGTGAACATAAGACCGCATTTGAACCTAATTTGAACTCAAATGAACTGTGGACTTGTGAACTTGAACCTGAACAATACCTAAATGATGGATAAATGGTTAAACCCAAGTAAAATAAGATCAGACTGGAGCCAAATTCAAATCAATTTGAACATGCAATTGAACTTACAAAGACTTCAAAAGACTTTGAACAAGAACTTGAACTTGTACTTTAAAATCGAATTATACAACACAAGTGGAACTTGAACTTGAATGTGAATAGTGCATATGCACTGGACTTGCAAATGAAATTGAAATGAGAACTTGAATCTCAATGAACCATGTCTTGAATATAAAATCAAACTCAAAAGAAGCTTGAACAACTTTGACATTGAACTGAACTCAAACTTGAGCTCAAGTTTGATATGAACTACGATGACTCTGAAATTTGGCAAAACAAAAAATGAACGATTAACTAAACTTGTGCTACAGAGAATTGAACTTCAAGATCATTAAATACATTATTGAAGAGAAAATACTACAATCAAGTTATAGCTTTGATTAATCAAATGCATATCAACAAATAAATGTGAGACTCATGTCGAATAGACCTATGTTGCATATGAGTGACAAGTAATTGCAGCACCTTGGAAATTGCAAACAAGTGCAACGATTCGTCAATCATCATGTACAGGAAGATCGATAATGAATATAACATCCTCCCTATACTCAACATCAACCAGACAACCCGTCAAAGTGAATGTAGAAATATTTTGCGGTTCATATGCAAGCAAGGACTATGAATCTACTATGAGTATCTAGGAGCAATTGTAAGAGTATCCACAAGCAATTATAAAAGATTTTCACATGCATGATCGTCCACCTACAACGTGCAAAGATCGTGTCATGCCTACAAATAAAGAAAGAGAGCTGTAAAGAAGATAGCATCCTTGCCACCAATGCCGGTCAACTTGTAAATATGTAAACTAATCTACTGATGAATGACGACATCAGATATATTGTGGATACGACAAGTATTCGGATGACTTTGCACAACGTCGTGTCTACTGACAGTCGCTTGATCGCAACAACCCCTTCTTTGGTAAATTTGATGTCCACAATGCATCGATGTGACCCATTTCGCTAGCAAATGATGTTTGGATATTTTTGCACTTGTTGCGGATGATGTCGAGGAGTTTCGATCCTACTATGTCCAACATCGTGTCCATTGATTGTTGTTCTCGTCACTTGTGCTTCCATTGATTGGAGAATATGTACGGAAGTTTACAAGTAGATTTCTTTGGGAGCTTTTTCTTTTATTAACTGTACTTGCTGATTTTTGTTATGCTGCTTCCCATCATATATTTGTCTCCTAATTTGTGTTAAATATCCACTCCTTGATAATCGATACTTCCAACAAGCATGAGTTGACTGTGGTGAAAAAATATATACTTGTGATGAACATCAAATGAAGAGAAATAAGCAGATTGATCCTCATGAAAATTGGATTTTATTTGGACAAAACTACACTTTAAAAATGCTGATTTGATGAAAATTTTCATTGTTTCATTTATATTTCTTCCTCATTGAAAGAACTGAATTGTCTTTCTACAGGGTTGTTAGGTGAGCAACTGCAGTCAGTGCATATTCAATTGTTGTCTCAATAATACCTTCAGCAAATTTAATTGCAATAGGAATGAATTCAAAATTGTCACCCTACTCTCAGTGGCAATTGCGTGCAATTGCTTTGGAAGCCAAAGTTTTTGCAGTTGAGAAATTTATTTGTACATTAGTAGGTATGGAAGCTCCGAATTAGGTGCAGCTCCATCTTTTCAGTGTTGGCAAATTATTTTTTGTAGGGATTTTCATATGAGGTACAAAATCTTATGTCATATCTGTCAAATTCTGTCTGTAGGGATTTTGCACCAAACCTTGACATTTAATTTTGTAAATACAAATTTTTGTTCACGAATTTTACATGCTTAAGATTCGACTATAGACTCAGCCTGTGAAATTAAGCTGGTTGAATGTCTTGATTGGTAATATATATATATTGGTGCCCTTGCCCACGAGAAATTATTTTGTGGGGTCATCGGACGCTGTTCAGAGATAAATCAAGACGTGTAATGTCATTTTTTTGTCGTGCACCAGGTGATGTGTCGCATCCTGATTTGCCTCCGGACTTTCTGGTGACCACACAATAATTTCCCCTTGCCCACACAATTGTCAGTTTTAATCACTTTTTCCTGTCACAAAATTAAAGTTAATAAGAAATTAATAATATAATGCTAAATATGTAGATCATCTTATAAATGATATATGAATTATCATAATCTTCATATGGTTATAGATCAATTAACTTTGGTTAAAAGATTCCATACGACGAAAAAATAATTGAACTAAATTGATGAATGCAAGCAGGAATTCTAATCTAGTTATTTAGCTCTCAGGAGAGTGAATTGCTTTCCATTTAAATTAGCTTTACTACTGCAGTACTACTACGTTTTGGGTATGTTGGTTTTATGCTATATTTTTATTTGGATAAAGATGTTTATCTTGAGATTAATCTTCTATGGTCAAATATGTTTCATGAATAGAGTTTGATCTGATTGAATCATTGGGTATGGCTGCGCTCTTCTACTGTTTTTACTCAAAATTTCATGGAGTGCATGACTGATTTGAACTCTTTTTTATTTGTGTATCAGAGTTATTACGTTTTATAGATATGATCATTGTAGATGATTTAGTCACATAAAGCATTAGACTTTCAATGATCTAGTAAGGAGAGTAGATGTATTAGGTCCGACCTATTTTAAGAAAGGCAAAGAGAGAATCAAATGAATTTGATTAGAAAGTATTAGAAATGATAATTTTTTTTAGATTTAAATCTGAATTTGAATCCTAATAGGACACAATGGAGAGAATAGATTAATGTAGTCAACAACATGTAGTAGGATAAAGGCTTGATGTTGTTGTTGTTGTTGATGCATCATCTCAATATGAAGCAATCGATCACGCTCATCAGGCTAATACTTAGAATAGGAATTCTTCATGCGTAGAAAGGATCGTATTATGCAAAAGAAACGACGAAATCGCTTCACTGAATATGGACCTTACACTTCTCCTTCTCTGGCTACTCATGCTGGTGAATCCTGCCTCCCCCCTACCCACTCAGCCAGGCTGGAAATTTTTGCTTTGTAAAAGGTAAGGAAGGAATGTTTATTATTATAACATTTTTTTTGTTATTGAGTATGTATTCTCTTTTATCGTATTTCATTTATTTGCTCTCTTCTTGTCTATATATGAACATATTGGTATTAAAAAAATTTCTCATTCGATAAAAATAACATTGCAATTCCTTTCTTTTAAAATGATATTTGAGCTATCATTGTAAGAATTTAAAAAAAAAAATTATTTTGATCGTACAATTTTATTGAATATTTTCCTTCTATCTATCTTAAATTTGGTATGATTCTGGCGTTAGTATGTGTGTGTGTTTTTTTTATTATTATTATTTATTGAAAAAAATATAGGCATATTATTGAAACTATTTGTTCTCTCTTTTTATCTATATATATTCAAATGAATTTTGAGATGAAGCCGTTCTTATCATTGTTTAATTTTCTTAAAAATTTTGCATCATTCCAACACTCAGGGCTATCATCATTCGAGAAATGATATTTATACAATCCTGATTATTCTTCCCAACAAACTTGTGATTGTAGTTGATTTATCCTATGTCCTTTTGTTAAATGTAACAAGTTATCTTCACCTTCTATTGTTTATATTTCTTTTGGCTATGGTGAGGGTTGAAACAAATATCATTGCTCTAATCATATGTGGGCTCCGAAAATTCGGCCCCAGCCTCTTCCTGCTATTTTCTACGATGGTCGGATGGATCATAATCATAAGGTGATGGTGGTCGAAGGGACCATAGTTGGCTGGCGTCGGTGGTCGTAGGGACTGTACTCGGTGGACATCGATGGTTAGAGGGACCTGAGTCGGTAGACGACTGAGGTCAGAGGGATCCTAGTCGATAAGTGATAAAGGTCGGATGGATTGTAGTCGGCGGGCAACGATGGTTGGAGGGACCTTAGTCGGTAGACGACTGAGGTCAGAGGGATCCTAGTCGATAAGTGATAAAGGTCGGATGGATTGTAGTCGGCGGGCAACGATGGTTGGAGGGGCCTTAGTCAGTAGGTGATGATGGTCAAAAAGAGTGTAGTTAGCGGGGGATTGTAGTCGGCAGGCAATAGTGATCAAATGGATTGTACTTGGCTACCCGGCAGAGGACCAACAATGATTGGCCGCAGAAGGAGGTCCAACAACGGTAGGTGACCGGGTGGAAGTCCAGCGATAGTTGACGGCCATGATCAGGCGGAAGTCCAACAGTTGTCAATGGCTAGGTGGAAGTCTAGCGACGGTTGAGCAAAAGTCCTGAGGTGGTCGAGAGCTGGTTGGTAGTTTGGTAATGATCGAAGGTCGGGCGGTGGTTTGACGATGATCGGGTGGAATTCCAGCGGTTGTTGGTGATCGAGTGGAAGTCCGGCAGTTGGGCGATTGTCTAACGATGGCCGGTGGTTGTCCGACGGCGGTCAGCGACTAGGTGGAAGTCTGCGGTGGTGCTAGAGTTTTCAAAGCTTAAGAGCTCTCTTTAATATGTAGAAAAAGGTTCAACTTCATATAGAGTGTGAGGGTCTATTTATAGATTTTCATAAGCGGCACAACCTGTAAATTTAGAGAAGATTTAGGACAGGTTCGGAGTGCTCCATTAGATGACCCATATCGATTCCCTCAATCATAGAGAATTTTTAAATGTTTATGTGCCTTAATGATGTCAGAATTCAACGATCTTGGGCTCGTTGGATACGTCTAGTCGAGCCACTCGATTCGACTATAAGCATGCAATATTTATATATCATTTGGTCATCCAATTTAGGCTTTGAACCTTCTAAATAAGCTTTAGTCCCCCAATTTGGTCCCAATTGGGCTTGGATTGGACCGATTTTGGTGTCGTTAGGTTCATCTCTTCGAGACATTAAGTTTGTTATAAGATTACTGAAATTGAAGTTCATATGTCCCGAATATAATTTTGAAAGTTTCCAACTTGAATATGCCTTGAAATTCATGCACAATCAAGTTGGTTATACACACACACATAATGCTATAACAAAACGATTTTGCCCATTCCCTTTTTCTAGTAGAAACTGCAAAGCTTGCAAAGTTTGTCTAAGATAGTGATTCAATTAGGCTTCATTTGTGACGTCTTTCTTATTGTTTTTCATTTACCAAACTAGAACTATATGATTTATCAAACATGAGAAACTTGCTTTTATTCACAGAATTAAATATTTGCATTGCAGATGGATTGAGTATCTCAATGCTCCAATCCTTCCATCGCCTAAATAATAATGAATTATAAGAGCTTTATAATCTTTATAAAAAGTTATAGCTATCTCAAATAAATTCTTTATTATATAATAAAATATTGAATAGAGTTAAATTTCAAATTTAATTCTCATTTATTTATATTTATGAAGATGCTTAAAAATACTCAATTTAATAAAAACAGCTAATAAATATTACCAAATTAGAACATATCTGATTTATTAAACATTGGAAATTTGCTTTTACTCACATAATCAAAGATTTGCATAACAGATGGATTAAGTACATCAATTGTCCTTCAATCCTTCACTTTCGCTACATCCCATGGGCTAACTTTATAATAGAACAAAACAATTTTGCCCATTTCTTTTTTCTAGTAAAAACGGTAAAGCTTATAAAGTTTGTTTAAGATAGTGGTTCAATTAAGCTATATTTGTGACATTTTTCTTGTTTTCTTTTTTAGACTACAATCATAATTTTTATATGCTTATTATTTTTAGAAATTTTTTGTGTTGGATGGCAACTTTCTAAAGTAACTTTAAAAAAAGACACTTTCTTCAAAACATTTTATAACCATCTTTATAAAAAACTGCACCATTCTCAAAAGTTCAGAGTCCGCACCAAATAATTTTTCGTCTCAAACAAACCCTTAGTTACATAAAAAACTATTGAAGAAAAAAGAATAAAAATTGTCTCTCAACTCTTTATGAGAGACCAAAATAGTCCACAAATCTTTTGAAGAACCAATTTTATCTCACAACTCTTTAAAATTGGATATTTTTTTATTGTAACATCTAATATACTTATGCGCCCCAACCCATAGGCTAACTAAGAAAGACCTCGAAGAGCCAAATCAAGAAAAAAATAGTAGTGAGAAAAGCACCAAAACTCATAAAAATCATGGAGCCACACCACACCAAGAAATCCATAATAAAAAATTAGGAGAAATTGCACATATTTCTCTTTTCTCTCTCCTTGTTTAACAACTAATATCAAAGCATAATTTAAAGATTCACCATTTGCTTTTTGATAAATCTCTTCATTTAACACTAACCCTATAATATCCTCAAACTTTAGCTTTGAACTCCCTGAAGAATTACTCACAATAGTGACTAGCCTATCCCAGCTATCTGTCAATGAAGATAATAACAACAAAGCTCTCCCCTCATCATCAAACTTCGATCATCAAACTTGATGCCAACAGAGCATAATTGGCCCATCATAGTGGTCAAATTATCCATATGTTCTGCCATTGAACTACTTTCTACTTGCATGAAGAATTACCTTAACAAATGCTTCAGTTCTTTCACTTCCTATATACCTCTCTAAATATTCACTGATTCCGTTGGGGGTTTTGAATGAAGTGGAGAAAATGTGTAGAGATTTTTTTTGGAATAAAAGGGATGGAAGATATGGGATGCACTATGTTACTTGGGACATCATGTGCAAACTGAAGAATAAAGGAGGCCGTGGTTTACAATCACTGGTGGAGAAAATGGGACCTTTGAGGTCTAAGTTTGCTCTTAATTTTATTAAAAACCCAAACTCTCTTCTCAATAGAGTTTTAAGGTCTAAGTATGGGAATGATTTATTGAATGTAGCTTCTAAGAGCTGTTATTCTGCAACCTGGAAGATTATTATGAATGGAGCAGATTTTTTGCATCCAATTATGTGTAGAATTTTTAATGGTAAGAATGTGTATACTTTTAAAGACATTAGGATCCTGAATAAGACCATTGATAAGTGGCCAACCTTTGTAACAGTTTTAACTCCTGAGTTTTGTAATAACTCGGCTTTTATTTATGATGGAAGGTGGGATATGAAAGTTAAAACTATGTTTTGGACAGCAGCTGATTGAGGTGAGAATTTTGATTCCAATTTATACCGAAGCAAGTGAAGACAAGTTGGAATGTATTAGTAGATTTTCTGGTAAATCTATAGTAGCTATTGCATATGAGAAAAAATTTGAATATGACAAGGAAGATGAGATGTGGATCTGGAGAAAGAAACTGAAGCTGAGGCCGAAGATTGAAATTTTTTGGTGGAGGTTATGCAGAAATGTTATTCCAACTTTTGGTTTTATGTTGCAGAGGAGGCTAGCTGAGTTCGGAGGATGTCCGAGAGGATGTATGGGATTGGAAGATGTAGAACATGTGGATGTACAATGCTATATGGTTAGAAGAATAATGGAACTGCTTGCTGATTGGAATTTTACCATTCCAGTGTTTGATTCTATGAATAAATGCTATCGATTATTTAATTGCACTTATCAGAGTTATGTGATTTGGTTCCTTGCTAAATCAAACCACTCTGACTCCATCCAACAAAAGAGGATAGACATCCTTGCTCCAAAAGAATGCTATGGAGATTCCAATAATAAGTGCAATTAAAACAAATGAGAATGGGATTAGTATAAGTATTGGACAAAACACAAATCTGATCAACAAAAATTCTTTTAGCCAATAATACATCTTTGGTTTTCAATCCGCCAAATATCTTTCCAAACAAGCATTGCATATTTAGATGAAGCAATTTTAAACCAAACAAATTTCTTCCAAATAACTTTTAATTCAGCAAGAAAGAGTTGCTTGTAAATGAACTTGTATGAGAAAGAAAGGCTTACTTGCCAAACTGAAACAACAAATAGATGTAGGATGAAGCCATATTTGAAGAATTTAGTGACCAAAAGTGCTGTAATCATCCACTAATCATACTAATAAAATCATCGACAACGCATTATAGTTACCGTTGAGTGATGTGAGCACCAAATTCTCAAAAACCACATTATTTATTTACCATTACGCCAAGGATCATGAAAGAATAGTACACAATTATTGCCAATATTGAGAGAGAGCCAAGTATGCATTTTATTTGCCAGTTCACATAGATTTTCAAAAGTAGGTAGCTTTAATGTTTGGCTTAATCCAAAGAAAGGCATAGTCACTCTATATCCAAGAGGCAAAATAAGTTTGTATATACTTGTAAATTGCAATGCTTCAAGAATAGGTAGACCTAAACCACCAAGTACTGGTATTCCATGATATCGTTGGAAGTTTCTTGAGCTCTTGTTATGAAGAAAATTACTAATAAAGCTAGTAATTTTCTAAACACCTTTAGGCAAAGTGCTTGAGAACCAGTAGTGTAAATAATTCCAAATGGGGAATTTACCTAGTTAAAATTTATCAACAAAAGAGAGCAATGTCTATTTCTAATCACTTACCCAAATGTTAAGCTTCCCCAAAATTCTAGAGCAATTGTTGCATTTGAGTTTTGCAGAGAAGGTGTGCCCAAGATAATTTCAAGGGAGATTTTTAAGATTAAAACCAATAATGGAGCTTATATCCTCTCTATTTTGCATGTTATCTGCCATTGCATAGCAAATACCCAATTTGTTGAAATTGATAGTAATACTAATGATATTTTAGAAGTGTCCAAAATGTTATGTAGGCTATAGACATTACTTGGATAAGCCTCACAAAAAATTAAGAGGTCATTAGCATAAAAAAAAGGAAAGATTAAAGAATTATTACCATTGATATCTTTGAAAGTAGAATTTTAGCATGAATATCCATGAGTCTAGGGAAGCTAACCATGATGAAAGTGGAAAGAATGAGATATAATGGGCATCCTTGCGAAAGATTTGAAGAGAGAAAATAGTCTCTTAATTTTCATTAATGACCACAAAGAATTGTTGACCTATAAACCTACCGACCGGACAGGCTCCCATTACCCACGACTCCACCACGTCGGTTCCTACAATCCAACGATCTCCACATAACTCCCCATGTTCCCTCCTCATGGCACAAAAACTCCCTTGCGCGACACGATCCGGAGGTCCGAAGCATTCAAACTCTCTCAGAACCGAATGTTTACTCCCGATCTCTCTACCCGCACTGGCCGACCCTGATCATAGCCTTCGTCCCAGATCTTCGTTTGCCGCATGACCCGACTTCCCTATTCTGCACATGGGATCCACCCCGATCATAGCCTTCGTCCCACCCCGAACTATGATTTTACAAAAATGTTGGATGTCATCTCAATTCTCAACATCAACGTTTGATGTCATTACAACATCAACATTTTAAAACAATCTCCATATCGAATTATGACGTCATTTTTACATTTGTGCTATAGATGCTAGCAATTTCTACATCCACAACTTGACATCTCATTTTTGTCCAACGCCTTCTCAACATTGACGACCAAAGCATTCTCAACATCGACGATAAATGCCATTTTAACACTGACGCCTAATATTTATTGCATAACATCGATGCCAGACTTTCAATAACATTGTCAGCTCCTCCATTGATGACTGATAAACGACATCAACGTCCGACTCTCGACATCCAATATTAATCATTTTAAGCATAAATTTTAAATAAATAGCTTATTATTTCTAAATTATTTTTAAAATTATACTTATTCAATTATTATACATAATTTTTAAAAAATAAAAACTATAATACCGTGTCCAACCTGTGTCTGTGTCATATATTTTCTAATTAAAGCACACGGACTACTTCTAATGGAAACAATGCAGCCCACTCAAATGCAAAGTTATATGACTGCTACTAAAGCCCTGCAAAACTAAATCTCCCTAACCCAAATATACGGGCCAACACTAATAGAGACTATAAGTCCCACTTTAATTAGCGTGTTAGGAAAAATTTCCCAGAATAAATAACACATCCCTAGTAATCATGGGCCACCTCTAAAAAAGGTCGCAAGACCAGATATACAGGCTATTTCTAATAGAAGTAGTAAGATCAAAACGTTAGGGAAAGCCTTTAGGTAAAAGTAAACTAATCCTAAATCTCAACTATGGGCTATTTCTAAGAGAAGTAGTAAAAACCACATGCTAGGAAAACTTCTAAGTAAACAACCCTAAACCTTTTAAACCCTACAAGCTACTTCCAACAAAAGCCGTAAGACCCTTTATACGGGCTAATTTTAATAAAAGTCATAAGTTCTGACCACAAATCTAAATCAAACAACCGGGTAACCTCTAAATGAAGTCACAAATCCCAAACTAAACTAAATATCGGGTATTCTAACATATGTAAAACCCAAACTATAATCAAATTAAAATCTACACCTATTCACTTCAGTTTACTTGAGATCCGTGAGAAGAGGAACCCGTGACTACTAACTAGATTCCTCGGTCACTACAATCAACAATTGTTAGTGTTGGTAGACTGAAATTTACGGTATTCTCGGGATGACGGGACCATAGGATGTTGATTTGGTCTACCTTCCTCACAACGAAAATTTAAAATTGTTGCACGTTTAAACATTGATTCATCCTTAATCGAGACTTCTCTTCTATGCGTTAAGAGAGGTAATTAACTATGAGGGCTTGCTATCATAGAAAGTGGAACCCCAAACTAAATAAACCTTGATGCCGATCATCAGGAAAAATCTGGTTAATTTAAAATCCAATCTACCTTAGAAAAGGTGGGACCTAAAGCTTGAGAGAGCAAGGTTCGTGCCGGAGCTCCATCTTTTTGTGAGCGAACAAGAATTGAACATTAGAAGTGCATGCCACAATCTAGTTAATAAAAATTTGAGGGGATACAAGATTCTATAATATAATCAAGGATAGTTATAATTCACTTTATCAAATATTTCTCTACTAATAATTTTGCTGCAAAAGTATTTTGGTTTGCTTTGAGCATTGAATTGATAGATAAGCTCATTAGCAAGGAAAATGTCATCAACAATATCTTTATCTTAAATGAAAGTTGATTGGGCAGGCTGAATAAATTTAGGGAAAAGAGAGTGTAGTCTCCCAGCAAAAAGCTTGGCAAAGTGATTAAGGTATTGCAGTCATTGTGAGTCACAATGTTGATATTTTTAGGTATAAGTGTAACAGTAGCATATTTGACATGATTGGAGATGGTCGTAGCAAAGAAGTATACAATAGCTTCAATAAAAGATCTTATGAAAACATGCCAAGTGTCCTTGAAAAACTTATAGAAAAAACCATCTAGGCTAGGGGTTTTATCAAATCTAATATTGAATAATGTCAATATGATATCGGACCCCAATAAAAGCAACAGTGAGATAGTAATAATCCTCAATAGAAAGAATGTAACCCATAGGTACATGAAGAGAGGAATAGTCATCATTGTTACAATTTTCATTAAGGAGGTAGAAGTAAGAGATGGCTTCTTTAGCAATTTCATCTTGTTAATCAAGGAAATGGGAATTGCAATTAAGTTCTATAATATAGTAGCAGTTTCCACGGCACTTTATTCTATAACAAAAATTACTTTAGAAGGTTATCTTTACCTTTTGGAAGCCAAGAATATTAAAAATACAAACTGCTAGTGGTTACTCATTTCAGCAGAGAAAAACTTGTCTTCAAAAAAAAGTGTTGAAAATCATCAGAAATAGTTAAAAATGAACATTTTCATATATATCCGAAGAAGCCCAAAAATATAAGAAATTCATGATATATAACTTAACAATTGGAGCATTAAATAATAAAGGATGCACTCAAGTTTCTCAATTTTCAATGAGGCATTTTATAACACCAATCATGAACGGCAAGAAGAATAACAAAAACAATTACAAATATATACATACATAGCTTACGCAATCTTTTGGCTCTAGCTATGATTCTCATCATCCGCATTTTCAGAAGACTTGACAAATCGACCTTTAACTCTCCTCCTGATGTCTGCTCTCGCCTTCCTGGACTCATATCTTATGCGCTTATCATATCTGCATGTTAGATTGGAGAATAGAAGATGTAAGGAACTCCTTAGTTTGAAGAACAAGACAACAGTCAAAGTTAAGGAGCTGTTTGGTATAACTTTCATTTTTTATTTTTATTTATTTTATTTTATTTATGTTTTGAAATCAAATAAAATATAGTTGATATCTTAATAATATATTTTTAATTTCATTAAATGTCGAATAAGTTGATTAACATAATGGTCACTGCAGGAAATGGCAATAGCAAGACAATAATAATAGTGGTGGTGGTTGGTGGCAATAATAACTCATTGGTGGTGATAATTATTTTTAAAACACTCAAACAGCCTCAAAATTGTTTTGATTGTCTTTGAAAACAATTTAATTTATTTTAAAAATAATCAAAAAGACTTAAAATACACTAAACTAACATGTTTTTAATAACAAAGACAAAAGCATAATAAATAAATTAAAGTGATCCCAAACAAGTCTAAAAGAGGAATGGAATGTATGCCTTCGAGTTTTCCTTTTCTCTTTATAACGCTGCATGGCGGTTCCCCTTTTCTCAGCCAGTAGTTCGGTGTCAACCCTCTTGAATGAATCCACAAGCTCAGTTCTAATGAGGGGCTGCTCACCAAAGGATATCTCCTTGCTATTGGAACCTAGTACGGGATTGTGCGAAGAAGAAACAGCAGGACAAGATATAGTGGATAAATTATTGCTAGAGGAAGATGGTCCATTAAGTCTCGAGTTGCATTTGTTGCTTTTCCACTTGCTCAGAATGTTATCTGCTGCACCGAGCTGGAGATGGGAAGAAACGCATAAGAAATACTAGTTAAGAATGTTCAGTAGCTCGCTTATTTGATTCATTTTTGAAGCATTATTGAGATATTCACAACTCACATGAATCCATTCAGATTAAGCATATAATAAACTTTCATGTCCCATAAAATTCTCCGTTCTGATCTTTTGTTATGGTTTCATCTAATTGAATAATTTTTTTTAAAAAAGCAAGCCAAATTTGATTTTTCTCATACAACTATTTCATAGTAGGAATAGGAAATTTTATATGTTCATTTCTTTCCAATGACAATGAAATGTGCAGACAATTTCTGTTCTTCTCTTTACAGCACTCAAAAACAGTACTATTAACAGTTGAACAGGAACTTAACCATGTAAAATGCACGACAAATGGTTTGTTTCTTTTGAAATGTTAGAAATAGTATCTACAAATTGAAATGATTATTAATCAAGATACCAAGGCCAATGAAGATAAAGGAAACTTCTTTGAGAATGTTTAAGTACTCAGTTCAGGAACTGAAACAGCAATGCACAAATGATCATCAAGAGACAAAAGAATGAGCTTGGAGTCCTTGGTTTGGTAACTGAAATAATATAGCACAATTTTGGGTATTGCAAGCTAAATGAACAAAAAAATATGAAGGAAATATATCATCATAATTATTAAACATTCCTATTCTTCATATATAAAAGTCTAATTAAGGAAAATCTACATTATGATAAAAATGAATTGCTTAAACGTAAGGCATATCATGTGTTAAGAATATTCCCATAAAAAGCTGTGTTGAATGGGTATACTATTCTTAGCAACTTACACTTTGAGATGGCATGTGATAAATGCTATTATTAGTAGAAGAGACATCCTCATTTGAAGGGCAATTTTTCTCATAGAAGCCTTCTAGAACTTCCGTATTTGCAAAAGTTCTTTCTTTAAGAAGGTCATTGTAACTCTTAATCGTAAAACCTGAATTGTTTCCAACATGGCCATCTTGGATGGGAGAAGTCGCATTATGCTCCCTAGTCCGTCCTGAATTGAAATCCCAAATCTGAAATGTATATAAACAATTAATGAAAACTGCAATGGCCACGAAGAAAATATGAAATTAGTCAAATTAAACAATAGCTTAGAAAAACAAATGAATCTATACATGGTGTCATCATACATGCATCTTGACTGAAACAAACCATAAACTAAACAGTCTGGAAATTTTTTACAAACATATCAGATGTATTTAGAGAAGTGCTATGGAGTTTTCTATAAAAAAAAGAGCTAAAAGTGCTTACATATATATGCAGGAGTTGTTACTTGTGTTTAAACACAAGGTGCTTTGACCAAGTATTTTCCTATTACAATTGCATTATTGCCATATCTTTTTTTCTTTAATCATGGATGTCCTTACTAGATATTTGCAAGAGGATGTGCCATGGTGTATGCTAATTGTTTATGATATTCTTCTTGTTGATAAGACTAGAGAAAGAGTTGAAGGTTGAATTATAGAGGTCAACCTTCAACACACCAATTATGACGACCCTACTAGTGGATCTGCCTGCATTCCAACCCGAAGGCTCCACCTCAAAAGATCTATTTAGATAGATCTTTTAATCAAGAACAAGCAAATCCCACTTCCAACCGGTCTAGCTGTGATGACCCAGAATTTAAATTAAAAGAATTATTCTTTTAATATTTTAATAAATAACAACTAGAGCTATCTAATATCATCTGTTAGTAATAAACAACAAAACATATTCTATAATCCCAAAAATCATATATAATACTCAGGATCTATACAATCATAGCATAACTATTTTGTCCTGAGTACAAAAAAAAACAAAAAAGAAATAAAATCTAAAGAATCATGACAATCCTCACACTCCTGCTTTCCTGCCCTGACCTGAAATCATTTAATCACATATAATGAGCTTAAAATGCCCAGTAGGTCGCCAAAATCTACAATTAAATTCAAAGAATGACAAATGAGCAATATGCATGTCAACAGCCATATCATAGCAGTCGCATTTATATGATCATTAATTAGTGCAGAAATAGTAAAATTTACATGTAATTGTAGTAGAATCTATAAACAATAAAACATTATAGTACGAAAGATAATAAAATAGTAAACCAATACAAGTGTCAAATCTATAAAACAATTGTTATATATGTGATACCAATCAGTACAGAAATCATATAAAACATCAAATCAAAACATCGGTAAAGACTGTTGATATTGAATCAATACAATAAAATCATGTCAGAATGTACATATGATATCCAGTTATTCTATATTAAGTGCTAAGTATATCACATGCTTAGTATTAGTATCTAAATCAATAACAATAATATAGTGGCAAGAGGTATAGAATAATGCAATAATAATAAATCCTTGCATTAACAATAAATTCGTATAATAATAAGAACAATATCTCAAAAACATGCATTCTAGTAATCACACTAAACAAGTAAGAAGTTCTAGCTATCACGATATTTTTCAGTATTGTATCAGCATCAGTAAATCATTGGCTCAATAGACAGAGTCATCACTCTTTGCCTGTCAGCACAGTAATCATCTTCTTATAACTCTCAATCTGTATCATATAAATTAATAGATGATAACACCAAATCACATTATTTAATAAAAAGCATGTCCTGCATATGTCAATCAATCTCCAACTAACAGGTCAGCTAGTCTTTACTTGTCTTTTACACACATATTATTATCACAATACTAAAACAATAATCTCAATCACATATCTACATTCATTTTTAATGCATTGTAACAAATAAAGCATAATTGAGCATAATTCAGAAAATGTCAAAATGATCTGACGGTTTATAACAAATCATACTGAACAAAAATTCATATTTTCAAAATTTAATAAAATTATTAGATATTCCATAAAATAACATTCTGAAGTTTTAGTTGAACTAAATTACTATTTTTAGATGTCAAAATAAATATTTATTAAGCAAAAATGGTTGTATTTTCAAAATAACCCGGTAAAAAATCTCAATTAAATAATCAAAATATTTACAACATCAATCTCTATAACATACAAAAAGTTACGCAGTGAAAGTTTTATCAATACAAAATTATTCATGTTTTTCGATAACGGAAACAAAAATTTGATCAGATAAATATCAAAAACATAATATCTTTAAAATCATAAATAGGGTAAATATTCCTTACAGCGAAACGATAAATTTACAACTGATTAGACCAATAAAAATCACTCCGCGACCTCCAAATTCAAGCTTTCCTTACTCTCAAATTTTCTGTCTAAATCTCTCTAAAACATCTTTGTTGTCGAAATGTTAAGGGAAAAATATAATTCAAAAGTTATTATTAATGATTTAAGATATTTTAATATAATATAATATAATTATTTACTTTATTCAAATTTTAATAGAAAATTCATATAAATATATTTGGGACATTAAAATTATAAAAAATATCCATAAAATAATTCATTTTATTTAAAAAATATCGATGAAAACAGATTGCAAAACGGATAACTGATGGTCCTAAATTCCTCAATTGTACCGAGAGGTACTAATTTCTTAAAGATTTTCACCGGTACCCAAAAATTAGGAAAAAATTCATATAAGTAAAATACTACAATAACAACACTATGGCGAATATGATATGCGATTTGGAGTTATATTGACCCTAGAAAAAAAATTATTTACCTTGGTCAAAATACGGGTTATTACACTAGCGCCCGATCTTGAAACTTGATTTGCATTAGCGACCAGCTTATCTCTGCTACTCCCATCTTGACCCCGACCTAATTGCAAACCACAAGCCCGACAACAGACCCATTGATTGCCACTGCACAACCCTAGCTCATCTACCATTGCACACACAAAAGGACTTGCTAGCCTTCACAAGGATGAACCCCCTCTTATTGCTCCGAACTCATAGCCACCCTTGTGCCTGCTCCTAGCATGTTTACCTTATGGATAAGCTTCAAAACCCGAATCCACATTCGGCCAGCACGCCAAGGCGCCCGTGCGGCACTGCTTGCATGTAGGGTCAACCGAACGATGCCTCTTCACGATTGCATGAAATCCACCTGCATGCCCAGGCTTCGGCCCATGTTTGCACACGGACCACCAGCCTAACTACTCCAAATCCTCCATGAAAAACATGCCCTATGCACATCTGCCTGATCACGTTCACCCGCGTGTCCACAGTCCACCTGTTGCCGCTTCTCAACGAGAGCATGTGTCCATAGTCCACCAAATGAGTTTGCACGCGGATTGTACCTATCCATACGAACCTCCTCTCCCTTCTTCCCTTTCTTGGATAAGAAGCTTGCTCCTTGTCAACTGATATCACTTGTTATGAAATTCTTAGAAGAAGAAATCTTCTTAAGCTTCTTGAGAGAGAGAGAGAGGGAGGGGGAAGGGAGGAGAGAGAGAGAGAGAGAGAGAGAGAGAGAGAGAGGAGCTACAGAAATTCCAAATTCCTTTAATCAATAGGCCTTATTATAAGGAGCTACCTATATATTATCCTACAATGTCTATTTATAGATATTTAAACATGATGTGGTGTATATACGGATCAAATTAATCTAAAACCGGATCAATACACAACAAGGAAAATAAATCAACTTAATGTTTCAAAATCTAAAACATCATTTTTTCTCAATTTTTTTTCTTCTACAGCTAAGTTCATTTTGCTCCCTTGGGTTGGCGAAGTTAATATATGCAGCACTGCATATGCGGGAAATCAACCAGAAATTTGTACAAAACAGTGTACTCCTAAGGTATGCCCACATGTATCCACGCCTAATAAACTCTCCTTGAGATGAGATGAAGAGGAACAAATAACAATGTCCTTGCTGAGGCTTGCTACTACTGTAGCGAGGCGGGGTTCTTTCCCGCACCTCAGCAGGGGCTGTGGAAAACAATTTTGCGAAATGGAAGGGGGCAAAAGCAACAAAAGAACAGTGGGCCCGGTCGGACTCTCGTTGACCTGCTCCTACCTATTCTTCAACAGTGCAGTCTAGCGAACAAAAGTAGAGTATTTCAAAGAAAAGTTCATGGGAAAGAAGAATCGCAGTAAAGGAAGCAAGGAAGGCCTAAAATGGTTTCCTGTATCCTGCAAGCAGTCGGTTTGTGTAACTTGCACTTTTGCAAATAAAATTATATATTTTGTTCCATATTTTTTTCTTGTTACTCAAAATGACGATGGGTTAAGAGTCCTTTTCTTCTCCCACCTAAAATTCTCAAACAGAAGTAAAGATCTACATTCTTCCTTTTATTTTCCTCTTACTCCCCCAAAATTCAATATTTTCTTCCGTCCACTCCCAACTATAGTATGCTTCCCTTTCCCAACTTCAGCAAAGAAGTGGAATCACTTCAAGTACAATGCAGATGCATTAACGTTTAAGCCCTGCTTCAGATGCCAAAAATATGTAGCTTCAGATGCCAAAAATATGTAGCTTCAGATGCCAAAGATATGTAGATTTGGCCCTGCTTCACCGAATCACAAACAACTGAATTAAGCAATAACGAAAGGTGGAGTAATACAAAACCTGAGACGCGTGGTCGCTTAGTCCACAGCCCCAGATCAGATCCGCCTCCTCCACAACCCGACGATTCTCCTTGAGATCCGCACAATCTGACGGTGCCATCATCAGCAAGGACGCGAACGGCAACTGCTGCAGGCTGCGGCAATCCTCATCGCCGCCGCCACAACCAGTGGCGCTCCGGCACGGTGTCCTTGGACTCAGCTGGCTCGTTGCCACTGACGAAAAATCCAGCCTCGCCATCTCTTCCAGCTGTTGAATAACAGCCGGCTTCCTCTTCCCATCTCTACCTCTTCCGGCAAAGCAGGGCACATAGAGATCAGCAAAGACCGAGTCGATAGCACCCAAACCGGCCAACATAATTTGCTCCCCGCACTCTCCAGACTCTTTCAAGCCCATCTCGAGGCCCCACGAAGCCGCAAGCTCCACGAACGAGGGGCAGCCGGAGAATCCTTCAATAACGCCGTGCGTGTGTCCGGCGCCACCGTCGGCAGAACCGGAGTGGACGTCAAAACCGCAGTCGTGGCAAAGGGCGAGCTTCTCCGCCTCACACCTCGCTGTGGCGGCAGCATCACCGCATTTGTCGCAGATCTGGGACCGTACGTGCTTCCGGGAGAGCGCGTTAGCACCATGGACTTGCCGGTCGCAGGCGACGCAGAGACGAGCAGTGTCCGCCCGGCAGTAGATCACAGCCGTCGCCTCGGAGCAGTAGTCGCACGCTAGCGAACGCTCACCTGTACTCTCCTCATCCATCGCAAACCCTAGTTCCGGCGCCGAAACCCCACTCCTTGATCCACTGAGACAGCGAGAGAGCGAGACGGAGCAGAAGCTGAGATCGGTACTTTAAAAACGAAGCTAGAAAGGAGCAGTAGTGCACCGACCGCATATAAATGAAATAGTCACACGTTCGAAATTAGTTTCTATGCGACACCTGTTAATCTACGGTTGTTTTGCTGAAGGGGATGGCCATGCCCTTGTTGGCATGGTGGCGGCTTTTGGCGCATGGGATGATTGGGTGCGGGGAGTAGGTTTGCAATATGTGTGACAATGAGGGGCCGTGGGGCCCGCTAGGATAGGAAAATATCAGCGCTTTTTGCTGAGCTGGCACTGCGTATCGTCAACCCGCGCCGGACCCCCCAGTACGATCGCGTGGTATGCCGACGAATAGAAGGAAAAATAATAGGTAAGTTCACATAGGTATGGGTCAAAATACATACCGTTGGACATTCGTTTAATTCAATTTTTTTATAACATAGATTTAATATTAAAATTTTAAATCATATCAAAATATTATTAGTATCAATTTTTAAAAACTAAAATATTCATATTTGATATTGATATGTAGTCAAAAAGATTTCAAAATTAAATTAGGTCATCATAACTTTGATTTTAGTAAATTTATAGTTAAATTGGACATCTTGACAAGACAAATTTAAAGATATTAAAAGTGGTTCAATCCAAGCCCGAATGAGCCAAAATCAAAGGTATGAAGTGTAATTGAAAACTTTCTAACATTAATTGGATGACCAAATTATCTTTAGATTTTGCATGCTTATTGTCGATATCAAACAGATTGACGAGACAAATCTAACAAGCCCAATATCACCTAACTTTGGCATCATTAAGTTACTTAAATATTGAAGAAATGAGTTATGATATAGGGAATCAATACAGGTCGATCAGCTGCAATACTTCAAAATTTTCTCCATTTTTATAAGGCATGCCCCTCCCCTCAAATTATCTCCAAATTTTGCATGCATATTGTCGATATAGAGTAGCTTGACAAGAAAAATCCAACAAGCCCAATATCACTTAATTTTGACATCATTAAGGTATTTAAAGATTGCAGAAATGCTTTATGAAAGAGGGAATCAATACAGGACAATTTGCTGCAATACTCAAAAAAAAATTTCCATTTTTATGGGGCAAGCCCCCTCCCCCCACCCCCTATATATATATATATATATATGACTCCCTAATTTCATAGCAAAAATTAGATAGGAAAAAACACATCTAACACCATGGAATAAATAACTCTCACTATGCAGAAATAAGGTGACTCGCTTTTTCAAGCAATGAATTTGAGCCTCATACTGACACAATCAGTCCACAGACAAAATGGCATCAAGTTAAAAAATGGATAATAAAATCAAGCTAGGCCTCCACCATCATAAATCTCAAAATGATAAAAATACACTCTACTGGCTATTATACATCTCCAATCTGTAAAGTAATAAATAATAAAAATAATAATAAAATTGAAGGCAAGTGCAATAAATCGAAGAAATGCTCGAAAATAAGTGAATGACAAGCTCCAAAATCAAATAAAGCATGACATGGCTGATAAGAAATATAAGTCATACCAATCACAAAATGTGGGGCATTCCAACCACCTGTTGAGTCAGACTGTATGCACGCTGTTGAATTGGAGTTGGTGTGACAAAATTATTAAACTCTCTTCAATCTACCTTCCATAGAGCCAAATCCACTGCCTCTACGAGATGGTCCCTTAAAAAATGTATGGAGTGAAATTACCCTCGGGCTCCTTGCTAGTCTAACAAAACTCTCATATCTAGGCTCAAATTGTTTATCAAATCCCTCCTATGGACACTTAGTCATCCTGTATCCGGTCTGACCACACTGAAAAAACTATCTAATCATCCTATAATACTGACCAAAGTGTCATTGGTTATAACTCTAACACACAAGTGCACCACTAACAAAACTCCTAAAACTAGTAACACGGATCCTACTAGGAGCTACCAAATAAACAAATTCTCTACCTCCTCTAGAGTTTCTTAATCTAAAGCTACTCTTCTTTTTCCCTAAAAATTGAGTAATCCAGTACATGAAATCTCACCATTAAATTTCTTCCTACTAGTAGTCCATTGTTGCTAAGTAGCAATTAGATCATTCGCAATCATCTGGGCTTTCTCTACAAACTTAAAGAAATAAAAATTGTGGAATGGAACAAGTGGATGTCTTAGACTATCTTAGAGTCCCCTTCAAAACCTATATCAATTCTTCATAGGACTATTAGCTGACTGCATAGCATATCTAGCCAAAGATGTAAACTACGCCTCATATTGTATAACTGTCATACTCTCCTGAACCACTCTTAGTCTATTAAATCTATTGACACATATAAAGAGTAACAAATAAGGCTCAAAATATATAAGAAAACTCTTCCAAACTAATCATAGAAGACAACCCCCCCCCCACCAATAAAAATTTCTCCTCCAACTAGCCCATCCACCAGTGCTCTGCCTACCCATTTAAGAAAAAATAGCTAATGGTACCTTCATCTTAGGAGGATACTACATACCTTCAAATATTGTCTCTAGCCTCCTCAACAAGTCATCTATTGCTATTGGCTCAATAGTGGGCTCAAACCTTAGAGGATTCAATCTTAGAAACATTTATAGTTATTTATCTACATCATTAAATCTAATATCATGAATTCTACTTTGTGCCTCACCCATCATTTGAGCTTTCAAACTAGCAAATTGCGAAACTATATTAGAACTAAATGTTAGAGAAGTACTATGTATATGTGTTACCTAATTAGCACTTTATTATTCTGTTATATCTAGGTCTAATGGATCCATAAGCATATAAAATATGCAACTTATCATAAATGCACATAAAATAAACAAAATAAATGCCTAGACAAACTTAAAACTACACTAGTGGAAGATCAACTTCCTATAGCTTTTTCTTATGATCCATTTCTAAAATTATAGATCTAATACCACAAAAGCTTGTAATAACCCAACCCGATAAGTGCCACTGATGGGATATATCTTATCGTGTTGGCTTATGATACCAGAATCATAATATCTAATTTTGGAAACATTTTCCAATTTTTCTTCTATAATAAAGAACTGCATAGCTACTAAAACATTCAAATTATTGAAATAAACTCATCAATAAAATCTCTTTCATTTTATCATCAAAATGTTTATACAAAACTTATATTATAGTGCATGGCTAAATAATAAAGAGCAGAGCAAAACATAATGAAAGCTAGCCAAGATTGTAATAAAATCAAAGAAGAATACCTATATCGGCTCATATCAATTTTTGAACAACTATTCAACTTGATCCCTCCCTTTCCCAAATCTAGAAAATAGAATAAAAAATACAGTAAGCTAAAGCAACTCAATCGGCCACAAACATCAATCTAAATTTCTAAATATTTCTTTTATTAAATATTTTCTAAAATATTTAAATGTAGTATAATAAATTACTATGTTGAGCAAAGTAATAAGAGTATAGTAGTTATCCAAATATTCAAGAAATAATATAGAGCAAACAAATAAATTGAAATTCTTATCACATAATATAAAATAATAAATTTCTTAGGATCCAGCTAGAATCTCAAAGGATTATGACCCCTTATAACTTTCAATGTGCTTATAGCACTAGAATATGCATGTAGACACCATAATATGACATTTTCACCGGAGCATACTTGTAGGAACCAAAACATAGCATTATGCCATGAGAACATGCCTTATAGGCTCCATAATATATTGCTCTTTCATAATAGTTTATATAAAATTTTTTTAATTTAAACCATAATATAGATAGTACAATCACATAAACATATATTTCATCACATGGTAGAAATTAAAGTATAATTGAGTCAATATCAAAATTGCCCTATTTTCAATAGCAGTAGGCAATAAAAAATTTGCTAAGAAATAATTTACATCTTTTAAGCATAATCAAACTATCAGAGATTATGTATAATGATGTTTTAAGAATTTAATCATACAACAATACTATTTTTCAGAGTTCGTATTATTTTCTATTAAAAAAATAGTATAATTTTCAACACAAGTGTAAAATTTTCAAAAAAAAATCAAATATTCAGAATCTAAATTTCTATAACATATAAAATGTTATGCGATAAAAGTTTTACTAGTTAAAGTTCTCGTTGTTTTTCAATAAAAAAATATAAATTTAATACAAAAATCTAGAAAAACTTCATTGATTCGAACAACTTTATGAACTGGGCTGATAGCTAAAAATGACACAAAACGGCCAAAAATCCTTCTTTCTTCTCCAAAATCCCTCTTCTTCTCTCTCTTACTCCACAACTAAAGTGATTGGGTGACTGTAATAGTAGAAATATAATATATTTAAGTGCGAAAAATGGCCTAAAAAAAGTGCGAAAAATGGTCTAACACCTAGGCGCCACACTAATTTAGCACTGTGATGCTAGTTCAAATCACAAAAACAATAAAGCATATTGTAGGGGTGCCTTTTTTTAGCACCGAGACAATATAGCAACCAAAATTGCTGTGCTAGACATTACAACATGTAAGCAGTCTAGGGGAAAAATAATAGATTTCACCAATATTCATTCAGACCCCTAAAACTTACTTCAAAACACATATGAACCATTTTCATACATACATATCGTCCCCAATCCCATAAAAAAGAATTCAAAACATAAAAGTTCAAACATTTACCTTTTTTTAATTTAGTTTAGAATAGGTTAAACCAAATGCTTAACTTGGAGCTGTCACAATATTGATCTTAATAGTGGGCTTGCTCTTTAAGTCTTTACTTGAAGTTACGTACAACTCGCTAAAGTGACTCAAAAAAGAATAAGAACGTGATTTTGAGGATTTTCCTTCTCATGTGGGATTTGGCTCTCCTGAAGATCTTTTAGCTTCGAGGTCTTGACTCTCCTATTGGGAGTAGTTCAGATCTCTCTTTAACTTGAATTTAAATGAGAAATTAGTGGATTCTAATTTGATTCAATCATCCTTGGATATTAAAATACATAACATTTGATTGAGTCTTATTACAATATTTTCACTCTTTAACTCAATTATTTTGTTGTTTTAGTGTAAT